AAAAACATGGGCTGTTTTCTAGCAAAGCAGTTTCTTTCTAACCTTAGCTCCCAAGTTCTTTCTCTCGTGTCTCGTTCAATGTTCTGACCCAAAAAGGGCCCTGTCATGCTGCTTCTTGTCATCTAACCTTTCCCCACTCCCCACTTACCGGTAATTTTTACACCAACTCTTGTCTTTCATTTTATAAGATTGTATAAGGTAAGGTTGCATAAGGCATACGTGTGAAGACACATGCATACATGTCTATGGAAATGTTGAGGTTCTCTTTAGGTGTGACAAGGATGGATAAGATTAGGAATGAGATCATCAGAGATACAGCACAGCTTGAAAAACTGGAAGATCAAGTTAGAGAGGCCAAACTGAGCTGGTTTGGACATGTCCAGAGGAGGGACAGTACAGTGGGTATATTGGTAGAAGGATGTTAGCTGTCATGAAAAAGACAAAGAGGAAGTCCAAAGAGGAGATGTATGGATGCGGTTAGAGAGGACATGGCAGTAGTTGGAGTGAGGACAGAGGATGCAGAGGACCGAGTGAGATGGAGGAGGATGACTTGCTGTGGAGACCCCTGAAGAGGGAAAAGCCTAAAGAAGAAGAAGAAGGCATACATGTGTGTGAATGGTGTCTCTCTCGTTCAAAATGTAATAACTTAGCTTAGTGATCCTCTTTGTCATATTACACTTTTTAAACTACCTGTAAACATGTAGTTGCTGTACGTCATCATCAATCTTCCATTGGTAATAAATGGTAAATGGACTGCACTTACATAGCGCCATTCTATCTTATCAAGGTACTCAAATCACTTTACAACACAATCTGTGCCCTTATTTCATTCATACAACACTACTATATCTACACAAGAATAACCAGTGCTTTATGACATTTAAACATTGATGAGACACACATTGGAGTAAATGAGGGGTTCAGTGTCTTGCCCAGGAACACTTCAGCATGTGACTGCTGGTGGAGTCGAGCCCCCAACTCTCCCAGTGGAGGACGACTGCTCTAAACCACTCAGCCACAGCCGCCTCAACAAATCTGTTTGTTGTTGTTCAATCCCACATCTGGGTGTTTCAGAGACCATAGAACATAACTTCAACATATTATTAAGCCGCAAAGCCAGCTTACCTTTCTATACGTTGACCGTTTTGGCTCTGGTACTACCTCAAACTCTCCAAACCCTAAAACTTTAAACATCAACCCCTTGAAAGGCCAAGACCATAAGATTTAATGCTTACTTATGGTAACAATCCTCCTCTCTGTGCCACTGATCTATCAACAATTATGTTTCTAAGTATGATTGATGTTCTGATCAGAGCATTTCTGGCACATGCCCAGCTGGATCTCTGATTGTCCCTAACTTTAACCCGGTCATTGTTCCTCTTGCCTGATCCCATAAATATGACCCAATAAGCAGTGTAGAGCAGGTCATAATGTCCTGTTTGCAAACAATGTCTTGTGGGTAATGTAGTGTATGAGATTTGTTTGTAGCTTAGTTTGTGAAACTGAAACCTGAGCACCAGCAGGATTATGAGACGCTATGAACACCGAGTTGCCAATTGTTTTCACTGAGAGTTTATTTAAAAGTTTCTCTTTTGAGATTTGTCTTGCATTTTTCTTATACTTTCATATTCCAAGTTGTCTTCAGCCCATTTATATTTAGCTTTATTGTTTGTTATTTTATTCCCCTCTACATTTGTCCTCTTTTTCTATTTTTTCCATTAAAAAAAAATCTAAATTTTCACAAAACTGTTTCCTTTAATCAGGACTGTAACGCTCCACTTGATTTTTGTTTATGAGTGTAATTATGGTAATAAATAAGTAGGTCGATTTAACCTACCATCAATTTATTTTATTTTTTTTTGGTTTGATAAACACTTTGAACTGGAGCAATTGCAGCTTGATTGATTCTACGTTGTCTGTGAATGTACAGCTAAGGAGTGATTGCCCGTGGAAAACAAGATTTTCCATAATTGTGCAAGATTGGGGTTATAGAAGATTGCTTTTTGGCAGAGACCAGATGAAAGCAAAAATGAGTATCATCCTAAATATGTATTTTCATGTGTCTTTTTCATCTCTGTATGGTAGAAATATTGCACTTTAAAAATGTTGGGTTTGCTGTTCGTCCAGATAACCTCTGACTTTGGTCAGTTACCAGCTAATTGGGATGGAAGAAAATCTCAGGAGAGGCATAATAACAGAGCAGGAGAGTTCATACATCAGTCTTACCACACCAACCACCCTGGCTCCAAACACATACCCCCAGACCTTATAACAGCATATTAGTTACAGTAACTGTTCAAATTGAACATTTCTGATTTAGTTTAGTACTACCCTCTAAGGCTCCCTTTGTCTTAATTATTTGCTTCACTTTCCTCATTTCTAAATATTCAGGATGATGCTTAGCTCTAAAATAAAAATACTACAGGGGCATAAGGGGCTGCTTTGTTGCACAAAACACATTGCAGTCATGAAGGAAAATCTTGTACAACAAACATTTCTATGCTCAATTTAATACCAAAATGTACCTTGTCATCAATTTAATATCCCTTTGATATAAATAAACATGTATCTTCCAGCTACTAATAATCCAACGGGTTAGCGGGAAGTTTTTGCCTCAGGTAGAGCAGTTTAAGTATGTGGGCATCATCAGTAATGAGGGTGTTGCTTTGGTTGGTTGTGGTGAACAAAGAGTTGAATCAAAAGGCAAGGCTCTTGATTTACTAGTCTGTCTACGTTCCAACCCTCACCTATGGTCATAAGGTTTGGATAATTACCAAAAGAACGAGATCTCAAATACAAGCGGCCAAAAGGGACTTCCTTCTTAGGGTGGCCGGACTCGGCCTTAGAGAGAAGATGAGGACGATCATCCCGTTGGAGCTTGGAGCAGAGCTACTGCTCCTTTGCATCACAAGAAGAAGTCAGCTGAGGTGGTTCGGGCATCTGATTAGGATGCCTCCGGGACACCTCCCTTTGCACGTTTTCCTGGCATGTCCCATTGGCAAGAAGCCATGAGAAAGACCCAGAACTTTCTGGGACTATTGTGTATCTTCTCTGTCCTGGGAACACCTCAGGTCTATCAGGAGGAACTGGAAAGGGTTGCTGGGAAAAGGGATGTCTGGGTTTCTCTCTTGAGCCTGTTTCCTCTGTGACCCGACTACAGATAAGTGGTAGAAGATGGAGATGGAGAGAACGGGATAATCCTTAAAAACGAGCATTGTTCTGAGAGCGCCTGTCTGCAGGATGGAATCACTATCATACAAAATAAATATTTTGACCTTAACTTTGACATGTGCATTACTGTTTTCTAATCTCCCACCTCGTTATTAAGCATTTACACAATGAAAATAATCTGCAATGTCTTGCCTGTTCAGACATCTGAATGGTGAAAACTGTCAAAACTCAAACGTATGATCCAATCAGAAACCATGACCCCTGATTTGACCTGACATAAGCTCGTAGGCCTTAACTAGCTTCCCTTTATTGCTGATAAATTGCAGACTAATCTCAGAATTGCTCAACAGTTTATTCAAGACAATACAGATGATTGGTTTATTGACAGAGAACAGATGTGGCCTAAATTGAGAAGAGGAGATTGAAATAAAAAAAATAACCTTGCATTAATGTCAATGTTACTGTTGGAGCCTAATTAAAATCTTGAACTGTAAATGTTCCTTAAATTAAAAAAAAAAAAGAAAGCTATTTGGCCTCTTCCAAGTTATTCCTCCAAGATTTGTCAAAGTACAATGCTGTCCTTTTCTATGTCCCTTTCTTTTCCCACTTCCAGCCGTGACTGTTGAACCTTTACCATGCAGCGCATGACTAGCTCTGTGTGAGGGAAACTAGTGAGCTGCAACGTCCTTCTCTTCTGTCTTTTGTTAACCAAGAAGATCAAGACTCCTTGGACTCTGTCAGCACAAAACACAAAGTAAATTTAGACTCACTTTGGGGCCCAGACTTGGTATAATAAAATGTCATGTAAGGGGCCTCCTGGAACAAAACAGTGATTGTTTTTCACTCCTATACAAACAGCACAAATAAGTGAAATAACCAGTCAAGATCATTTATTACCTGTTAGTTTCAATGGCCATAACTCGTGATTGTTGAGATCCAGTTGCTAATCTGTTGCACATCCTCACTAACAGGTGTAGAGGCCTAAAGCACTGCTCATTAACACCATGTAGTCATTACCACCCGGACACAGTATACATGAAACAACACATTATCACCTAGTTACTGTGTGTCAGACCTCTGGGCATGTTGGTCTGCACATTGCACTGCACATGTGTCCACATACTGTCATCTTGGCTGCCTCAGTCCTTGCAAGAATTATGATATTTAGGTTATTTCTCATTTTTATTTAGTTAAACAAATGAAACATTTCATCTTCCAGATGAGGCTTGCAGATTGCTTAATCTGTTTATGACTTTATCAATTAGAGAATTGTTGCACGTATTTGGGAATATAGGGTGCCTGCCCTTTGTTGACTGGCAGCCATTTGGTCATTCATTATGTTAAACAATCCAAGCTTTCAACAAAACACAAACACATGCTGATGTAACAATGGGATAATGTATATGTGAGTTAAGTGTTTCTCAGTTTTATAATGCCTTAGAGAATCAGCAGTGATAAAGCAGTTTCAGAATCCTTGTCAGTCCTGCGTGTTTTTCCTGAATAACTTTCAGGGACTTATCCATGACCTGCAGTAAAAGCAGTTTTCTGTCTCCTGTAATGAAAAGCACAACGCTGCTCTGTCGTCAGCTGGTAATAATGGAGCATTATGTTCACATGGCCTGTTGATGGGCTCCCTGTTGGACATTCAAACCTTTGATCTGCATCAGCAAAACATACAACTCTGTCGCTACTGTGGGTTCTGTGTGTTTCTACTCAGTATTTTTCCACAAGAAAGCCTCTGCATCATTATGATTTTCACAAATAACATATATAAAAGTGTGTCTGACAGTCACAGCTACTCTAACTGTCTCAATTTTCTCTGTCCACAGGGTCTGAGCTTCCACAGGACCCCAGTGTTCTGGCTGTCACTTCATGGAACGCCACAAACGATGGTAAAAGCACAAAACCAAACTTTTTCCTTCCATGACTTTTATAGCTGTGAACACATCTGTTACAGGCAAAATATGATGAAAATTAACACATGCAGTGTTGAACTGTAACCCTCCATATGTTGTTGAGATTGCATTACTGACTTGTTAAAGATTACACAACCTCAGAAACCTTCCCATTGTCCCAGTGTGGGCAACCACAGAGAGTTGTTGGAAGGAACTGCACAGTGAGCTACTAACATGTGGGCAGAAAGCCACAAGTGTGTTGTTTCTCTGATTTCTACTGACCTACATGTACCTCGACAATTTCCATGGAAACCCTTGAAACATGCGTGTGTTACAGTGTATCCCTCCAGCAGTGTATTTTTATCAAAGCACTGCATTTTGGTACATATTCTGAGTGTGAGCGACATGTTTTTATCAACTCAACCTTGCAATAGCACTTTGTTCTTTTCAAATGTGCAGCAGACGAAAATCATTGGAAATGGTGATTGTATGTTTCCACTGTCATTTTTTTTTTTCTAGAGATAGACCTGTTGGTGGGCTTAAGTCTGTTTTGTAGTACATGAGAAGAGCTGAAGTTGTGTCTCAGTGATGTGGGTGCATGACAATAATTGTGCAATTTTCTACTCACAACCCCAGCTGAGACCCCATCTTGTGCTTTTCCCCCAGTAAGAAATAGTTCCCACAGAGGTATGCATCAAGCATTGTGAGACTGGTCAGAGATACGGGCGATTCTCTGCAGGGCTTGATTTGTACACCGATAAATGCCAGAAAGCAAATAACAGGCGGGCCGGCATAGTGTCCTCCCCCAGAAAATTTTAAATGAAGTAGATGCAATTTCCTGCATTTTGGTGTATTTTAATGGGTTGTTAAATGTCTACGATTACCTACATTTGTTAACACTCCGCTTCTGTCAAGCATCCAATCCCTACCCCCTCCCCCTTACTTGATGGTTCAGAGCCCGACTCCTCCGTCCATTCACGGCCGCTGCCTGTGGGCTCCTGCCCGCATGCAACTGCCTGGTTAGCTTGGCACTCACCCCCACCCCTATTTTAAGGGCAGAGATTTTTTTTAAGGGTAGAGCAAATGCTACTTGAAGGGTCAGCTTGTATGCTCTTGTGTAGGCTGTTGTGTTTAAAATTAGTGTTTATGTAATTATTTTCAGTTTACATATCCAATATATGTTTTATTCGTTCAAGGCAATCATATTTGTTCATACCTTTATTATTAGTAAGCCTGAGAGTTACCAAATCTAAACAAACAGTTACCGGAACGCAACCTGTCAAGATAGTTCCCGGATCCTGTTCCGACAGGATCCTGCTCTGCTGGCCAAGAAAGAGTGCACCTCTCCCATGCAGCCGTGGTCGGGATGACAGGGAGGGAGTGTTTCTCGGCCGGACATGTTCTGTCAGAAATGATGACTGTCTCTTTTTGTGACAGATTTACAAAATATCACTTCTTTATAAAAAAAAAAACCTCCCCAGAAATACCAAATCTTCCTCCTCCAACTTATTCATCATACACTCTAACCATTGCTGTGTTGATGTTAGTGCTTGATGTGTGCTGCAGAGGGAGGACTTATCAGGAGTTCTCCCCCGCAATTTCTCTTTGAGTATGCATTGTCTGTGCAAAATAGACCATCTCACAATCATGTCAGCGAGATCAGATGTTTTGTATCTTGTGAAGTACATCCAGACCTTTAATATTTAGGTCAATTAATGCCATTTCTTTAAATAATTAGCATCTGCTAGACTTGAGCATACTAAGCCAGTAGTCAAGCACAGCAAAAAAGGGTTGTTTCACATGGCAAACAGTACTTATTACCTTTACTTCTGTGCCTTTTATGGCAGAGGTGTTATTTATTTTGCCCATTGGTAGATCCCCCCAAAAAATTTACTGGAATTATATTATTCTATTTTTAAAGTAATAATGTCATGTCTAATAGGGCAATAGCCAAGGCTTTTTTTATGTGGCAGGGGATTTGGGGATTTTGAGCCCCATCATTCTTTCTATTATTGACCATCACACACCAAGTTATAAGCATTTAACAATGTTTGTCTGTCGTTGTTTTTCACGTTCAAGTAGGTTTATTGTCATTTCACACATGTGGTACATGAGGTGGAACAAAATTATGTACACAAGGTCCCAGTCACACCCGACAATAGCAAAAATATAAAGTGTAAAAAAAAACGGTATGTAAGGATCTAAGATATACACTAAGTTATACGATAAACGAATGCCAAATGGTACGGTAAAAGATCTAAGATATACGCTAAACACTAATAATGCAAAACAATGCAGTGTAACAACAGCAGCAGCTTTTCAAAGTCTAGTAGAGTTTGATGTGCATACATAGTGAACTGCTGAAGTTATTGTCCAATAACAAATACATTCAACAAATTGTCCTTTAATATATCAACCAACAACCGTCTTAAATTCTAAAGATAAGCATTAGTTAAAAAAAAAAAAAAACTGCCTAGACAACCTACTGAGAGCTCATTTCAGCCACTTGTATCCAGGATTGAATTCCATACCTCATGACCGCAAATGAGGGTTGGAACAGACTACCGGTACTAAACTGAGAGCTTCAACATTCGGCTCATCTCTTTCTTTAGTGTCACATGGAAAACCCAGATGGCACCTGCTGAGTGGCAGACCAGTATGGTGATCCCCAGTTTTAACAATTGACACCAGAGAATGTGTTCTGACTATCAAGGTATCACCTCTCAGCTTCCCAAGAAAACTTTACTCCAAGGTGTTGGGGAAATAAGCTCTAACTAATTTATTTCTTGTTGGCCATGGGAAAGGGTTGTAACCTCAACAGATAAGTTAATCAATAGCCTTGTCTTTTAGCTCAACTCTTTTTTTTTTCATGAAGACAGAATAGAGCAACACCTTCATTACTATGGAGGAGTCCCCAGTCTGTCATTCATCTTTCGCTCCATCCTCCCATCACTTGCCCCAGATATTTAACTCGTCTGCGTGAGACTCATCCCTGACTCATAGCATTCCAACTTTTTCTGTTTGAGAAACATGACCGCAGACTTTCACAATACCTTCAGTTTATTAAAGGTCAGAAACAGGAAAAAAAAAACAAATCCCAGGAGGAAGCAGAGCTGTTTTAGTCCATTTTGACATAATTCTGTAGTAGAACAGCCACACTCATCGCTTTTCTTACATTTACATTGCTTTCATTGAATCCTGAGCTGGATCTCCTTGATTTGGCATTTCAATATCCTAATTATTTGAAAACGAAATTCATCATGCCATCCATCAGATTTTAAGTTGATATATTGCATGGCAGTGGAATTCTGAAAAAAAAAAATCTAAATTGTAATACTTGTACGTATTACCACTTCCTTTCTTCAATAATAACTTTTGAATAATTCTTCAAGCAGTGTTCGGTTATTCCCCACTGCTGTTTACCTGTCAGCACCTCAGAAACAGCTGAGCCTGATCCACAACCTTTTCTGGATATTTTCATAAAATTGCTGTCCAAAGTAATCAGCCAGAATGATCCTCTGTCATCAGTTTCTCCTTGAAGAACCAACATCTGCCTACATCCTAAAGCCTAGATGTTTTTTCTCTCTGTCTCTCTCTCTCATTGTGTTTGGTTTGCCTGATAGAAACCTTGCAAACCCCACAAAAAAAAAAAAAAAAACCTCCCACAGCATCTTTCCCACAACAGATTTGTTTGTGCGTGTGTGTTTGTACACATAAGCAGTCACTGTCAAACACACAAGCACAAAGGCAAACAGTAGTTTTCTGGACATGATTGAGCAGTTTTAGTGAAGATAATGATTACTTTAACCAATCAAGGTTGTTTGGAAAAATCATAAATACAGCGAGGAAAAGATCCAAACAAATCGCAGAGGCAGCTTCATGTTTTAGCCACAGAAACCTGTACATGGAGGGTATCAGTGGGTGTTTTTGTGTCTTTTTTGAGTTCAGACTAGCATCTGTTTCTTATCTGATGGGTGTCGATTGCAGCTCGTGTTTTGTCTGCAGGCAGGGAGTGTTTTTGATTGACCAAAAACACGACAGTCAAGTAGGCTGGCTCTATCGGTGTGCATCGGCAGCAGGATGTTATCACGATCAAAAAGGGTCATTGTTACAAGAAACCCACGGTGGTGATAGCTTACAGCAATATTCTTTATGTTCCTCAGTTTTTATACGGCCATCGAAAGACGGACATGTTATGGTACACAAAGGTGCAGACATCCGTCACCTTTCTCTTGTCTCGCCCATAACTTCTGATCCGCTCAAGATAACTTAACAAAGCTTCATACACATGTGCATCATCACAAGACAGAGTGTCCTGTACACTTCTCATCACACCAGCTTCAAAATCAAGGTCTCAAACCATGGTCAAAGGTCAGAGAATGTATTTGCTTGTCCCACCCATAACTTTTGATTCACTCAAGGTAATTTAATTAGACTTGATACACGTTTGTACTACTGCTACACTGCATGTAGCGTAATATTTTCATTGCCCAGCTCTGAGGTCAAGGTCACATATCAAGGTCAAACATTATACAAGGCATTTGCTTGTCTATTTGCTATTGATTGCTGTATAATAGTTTGTAGATGGGGTGGCTGTGGCTGAGTGGTTAGAGCAGTTGTCCTCCAATGTTTGAAGAGTTGGGGGTTCGATTCCACCAGCAGTCGCATGCTGTAGTGTCCTTGGGCAAGACACTGAAACCCTCATTGCCTCTGATGTGTGTCCCATTGGTGTATGAATGTGATAAAGCACTGATTAATCTTTGTATAGATCTAGTAGAGTGCTGTATGAATGGGTAAATGAGGGCACAGGTTGTCTTGCAAACGGCTTTGAGTATCTCGATAAGAAAGAATGGCGCTATATAAGTACAGTCCATTTACCATTTACCATGGGCATGGCCATACCTATGTAGAGCTCTTGTTTTTATTGTCGCTGCTGAAAGCCAAATGTGGGCATTTTTTTAGGTGACAAGACTATTGTATAATATGCATTCTTTCAA